TGTGGACTCGACGCGTCCAAATTTTCCAGTAGCGTTCCGGCCGAGACGAACAGGTCTCGACGCGTCGTTAAATTGCAAAAGTATGGGGCGGCGCTGAATTAACAAAACACTGCATCAATTCCCAAATTTGCAAGTGGCGCTGAAATTTATAAAGGCAAGGCATTAATTTCTCAACAAAAGGGGCTGTAATGGTTTCCTAATCATTAAGGACGGAAATTTCTAAATTAAATTAGAGAATTACGATTTCGTCCCGGTTTGGCTCTCGCTATAAAATCTCACCTTCTCCAACCCTAATGGGAATAATTCAGAATTCAGAATTCATAGATCTCTGGAGACAAGAAAGAGAGAAATCAAGAGCCACAAGTTGTCTTGGGGATCAAGAAGAAGACTAGGGAGATTTTAGAAAATCGTATAGTTAATTTTTGTACTCTTTTGATGATTTGTAATTCTTTATTATTATTTGCTATGTATAATTTAGCCATGCTTGACTAAATTCTTTAGAGATTCTTGGGTAAAAGTGTTTATGAACCTATGTGCCTGAGCTATCAGATTCTTTAATATATTATGATTTGGGTTTTAAACTTGTGTTGCAATTGTGATAATATTGTTTGATACTTGTAATTAGTGGTCATAGTTACTTGTTTCGTTTGCTTTGTTTGTGTCACAACGAGAGTTGGGCATAACTTTGGGCACACACAGTTGCACCTAATTGTTGCACCTTGAAAAATGGTAATTTATTTAGGGAGTTTAATTCTTGATTATTGCACATCGAGAGATGGTAGTAGTTCGGAATTTATGATGCTTGATCTTGTTTTATTGGGTGTTTAAGCCACGAGAGTGAAAATTCACTAGTGTTAGTGACTACGAGAGTAGCTCTATACCACCGTGCATCCTCACACTTGTTAAACCCAGATTTTTATATTGTCCTTAAGATTTGACACTAGGTGATTAAATACTTGAATCCCAGGAATCTCATCTTCTCTCTAATTGTTTTCAAAATCCTGAATCTTTGCTTTATTTTATTTATTTTATGCAAATTAATCATATAAACAATTGTTAGGATTAGCTCTAATGAATAAATTAGTAACTAATGCCTGATACAACCACTTTCCTGTGGATTGATAACTCGTACTCCGAGTATTATTTGTTTGCAAATATACTACGCATCAGCATCCGAGCAGCAGCTATGTGACACCCCGTAAATCCATATGCTAATCAAGGCTTAATTAAGGAATTAATCCAAGTCTCTTTGTTAATCTATTCCTAAAAATCCTAAAATTTAATAGTCGAGGGACTAGATTTTGACTAGTCATCTAAGTCAAAGGGTTGTATCTTGTGTTTCTTGGGTGGTGCCCTTGTTTCCTTGTCATTCCAACATTAGTAAGGGTAAGAATGTCTTTCTACCTAAGGTTTGTGGTTCAAGCTAACTTAGCAACACTCTTTCATTTCATTCACCCTTCAATCTAAACACAAAAACCTCTAGCCTCTCTCTAAAAATGTTTAGTTTCTTCTCCAAACTAGGATTTTAGCATCCAAGTCTTGCAAGTTTGTCTCCCAAGATTCCTACTTTCTTCATCTTGAGCATAGGGGAGGGTAAGATCCTTGGTCTTTTGATGTTTTTAACCTCTTTTTAGGTGTCTTTTTATAAAGATAGAATCTTTGTTGTCTTTTGGTTTGTGTATGAAGTTGGTGTGGAAGAAGAGCTTTAGGAAAGGCTTTCTAAGGGTGAAAAGAGGAAGTTATTAGGCTAAAAAGGTAACTCATGCTTTACAAAACCTATTTTCTTACTTATATGATGATTTCTTGGCTTCTACTTGTGATTCTTGTGTTGAAATGTGAGATTTGATGCATTATCTTGTGGTGATGCATGTTTAGAGCTTGTTCTTAGGGTTCTTGAATGTCATTACTTGGCTATTTCTTGGGTTCAAGTCATATTGTTGTTGTGTGTGAAATTTTGGGTGTTTTGGACTTGAACTTGGCCTTGTTGTTGAAAATCCCTGAAGGGATTATTTTGGTGTACAGGGTGGTACCCGCGGGCGGAACGGCGGGCAGAGGCCTACCCGCTGCCCCACCCGCGGGGAACAATGGTCTCGTGGGTTGTATACCCGCGGGTGGAGGTCCACCCGTGGCCCCACCCGCGGGGTACCATTTTGGTGTTGGCCGGGGATTTATTCCCCGTGATTCTTTTGACTCAGTATTGATGTTTTGACCTCCCGATGTTGTTGTATTCGGCTATTTGTGATTCTTCTTGATGTTTCGTATGTCTAGAACGGTATGTTAGGAATCCATGTAGGATTTGGTGTCTTGAATCGTGCTAAGGGTCCAACTTTGTGATTCGTTGGATTATGGTGAGTCTTGAATGTTCTATGGAACTACTTTTGGTTTACTCGTTTGATAAGCATGCTAGTTTGATGTTGAAATGCTAGTATGTGCGGTTTGTTCTTTCTTATTGGGATTGGCAACTTGTGTTGACCATCATTTGGTGTCGGATTGTGATCCTTCGTTGTTGAGTATGGTTTCATGTCTTTGTTGTGATCCATTGATTGATTCTTATGATATGAACGTATGTAATCGTTGTACCCTTTGATTGATACTTGATTAAGGTTATTGTGGAACCGTAGTCCTCTTGGTAATGATGATGATCTTATGTGACTATGATTGAAATTGGTGGTGTGTTATCTGCGCTTGGCTCATATGTTGGAGGCTATGTGAATGAAATTAATGGTACCCTCGTGTACTGAGAGTTCGACGGTATGTTGGAGGCTATGTTGGAGGGGGGGACGACGGTCCCTGGCGGTACAAGGTTGGACTCAGAAGTACAGGGTGACACTCGGAGGTAATGGTTAGAACTGAAATAAGACCGGGGGTAGTCATAAGGTTGGAACCATGAAACTTGTGACATGTAGTTGTCACTGTGGCATGTAGTTGCCGTTGTGTGAATGTGTATTCTTTGCTTATGAGCATGTCTGGATGTATTCTACTTTGTGATCAGTAGAATGCATCCTGAGTTATATTGTCTTCCATGGTTATTGTATTGTTCTTGTTGTGAGGGTGGTGATTTCCGTTTCCTTGAGAGTGTTTGATGAATCTTTGAAGTTGACTTCTCTCTTTGGTTTTGAAATGTATATACTGTATTCCGTTTCAAAATGGTTTTGCTTATACTTATCTATATATGTTATTTAACGCGTATTGATGGGTTACCAGCAAGATTCGTTGACCGGGTGTTATCCCCATGTTATTTTCCTTTTTCTACAGGTTTTGAGTAGAGGTTTGAGAGCGCTAGACATGGATCGATAGATAGCTTAGCTACCTTGTCTAGACGTTATGTTTTGATGGCCTGTGAGCCTTTTTAGCGGCTTGTGTGCCTTGACATTTTATGACTTGTTTGAATTGATTAGTTTTCCCGCCTGTGCACCTATATCTGAGATAGGTGTGGCATAACATACCCTGATTTTATATAGCTTCCGTTGTCTTATGTCTTGATGATTAGATGTTTGCTTGTGCATTTAAGTTTTAAAAATGTGGTAAAAATCGGGGGTGTTACAAGCTGTGTTATTCTCGCACTTTTGGACAACTGCTCAAAACAATCAGGTTTGGCCATCAACCTTAGTAAATCCTTGATTTATTGCTCTCCTAACACTTTGACAGGATCAAACGAAGGCTGGGAGATATGTCAGACATCCCCATTACTGATAAGGTGGGTAAATACCTAGGAATTCCTATCCTAAAAAAGGGTTTCGAAACATATATTCTTTTGGGTACATCCTGGAGAATATGAAAGGGAAACTCTCAGGCTGGAAGAGGGATTCCCTTAGCATGGCGGGGTGGAAAGTCTTAACTCAATCAGCTCTCGTGACGATCCCGGTTTACACAATGCAAGGCCTAGCTATTCCTAAAGGGGCTTGTGATAGCATTGATAAGATTTGTAGAGACTTTTTAAGGGGGGACTCACAGGAAAAGAAGAAAATTCACTTAGTCAACTGGAACGAGGTCTATCAACCCCAGGAAGAAGGTGGCTTGGGGTTACGGAAGGCGAAACACTTTAACGAGGTCCTCTTAGCCAAACTTGTGTGGTATATGTGCTCCTCCCCAGACAAGCCATGGGTGAAAGTCATGGCGGACAAATATATCAAAGGATGAGATTTTTTCTCGGCTCCAGTTCCCTCTAACAGTTCCTAGGCCAGGAAGAGCATTACCAGGGGTAGAAACACAGTCATCTTGAACGCAGTGTGGACGGTGAGAAATGGTCATTCCATCAATTTGTGGAAAGATTGGTAGTCGGAGGACCACTTTGGGTGCAATTAAAAGTCAAAGAACCAATTTGAAAAAAGACCATAGTCGAAGGTCCATTTTAAAAATTAACTCATTTAATATATGCATTCTAACATTTTCTAACGAATTGATGAACAATGTTTGTGTTAAGATGTTTTTATTGTCATTTTTCAATTCTTCCACAATTTTCTACCAACAACATCCCCCCTCTTCAATATTTATGTTCAAAGGTTTGATTATGAAAAAAACTAAAGAACTGAATAGAATATGTAACAATAGAAACTTAACATGATATTAAACACACATTTCAATAGAAATTTGTTCAAAATTTTGAAGCATGACAAATACAATAAATATGACATTATATTGAAAAATGGATAATAAATTAGATGAACATCAATTGCAAAATATATCAAAATCAACAATCCACAATACATAGCAGCTTCTCTTTTGCCTTTCAGGTTAGAGGAAGAAACTCCCTTCCAACATGTCAAGAGTAATTCACATTAAAGACCAATCACTACTGGAAATTCTGAAATTTCCGACCACCTGAAAGTGATCTTAAATCAAGTTGAAAGTCTTGTTCCGACCACTTTTGGTATCCGGAAAAACCTTTGTTGCTATTTCCGACCACTTTTTGGACTTTTTGGTATCAACTTAATTTAAGATCATTTTCAGGTGGTCGGAAATTTCAGAATTTCCAGTAGTGAATGACAAATACCTTCAACACACAATTGCACACTGACAATAGCATTGACCTGGAAAATGTGAAAAGTCCTGTCACTTTTTTAGCTAGCTTGTAAAAAAATAGGCATACATGGTAAGTAGCAGCAGCAGCAGTAAATAAATACATAAAAGAGAATACATTCCTTTAAATCAAATATACAAAATAAAATAAATTCACACACACACACACACACACACACACACACACACACACACACACACACACACACACACATATATATATATATATATATATATATATATATATATATATATATATATATATAAGCTATTTGTTGAAAGCATATTGAAAACTAACCTTTAATAAAAATAATCAAGTATTTCGTTGTAAGCCATCTCTAAAAATTTGAAGTACGCATAGCTCCAAGATCTTGCGAACAGTAGAATGCTTAATACTCCAATGAATCCAACAATGAAACCAGGCCCCATACCAGCATAGAACCACATGAAAAACTCATGGTCATCATCACTACTGGTTTTTGTATCATCATCACTACTGGTTTTTGTAGATTGATTAACAAAAGATGGTACGTCACTGGGGCAACCCTTTGAAAGAGGGGCACCACAAAGTCCTTCGTTGCCCATGTAAATGGATGGATCATTGAGGGTTTGAAGTTGACTTCCTGTTGGTATTCTCCCATATAAATAGTTGAATGATAAGTTCAAGTGGCTCAAAAAATTCAAGGATGACAAGCTTGGTGGAATGGGACCAAAGAGTTCATTTCTAGATAAATCAAGTGATTCAATTTTGCTCAAATCGCCAATAGTCTCCGGGATTGATCCACTTAGATTATTTCTAGAAACATTCAAGTTCTCCAATGCATGCAAACTCATTATCTCAACCGGGATCTTTCCAACAATATGATTCCCTGAAAGATCTATAGATATTAGGAATTGAAGGTTTTTAGTGTACTGCAATGTTAATCCTTTTATGACTTCATAACTTGCATCTTCATACTTTCCATAAGAAGATTCATTCCGATAGTATGATGGGTTCCTATCAGAAACCATTCCAGTCAAGTTTCCAAAACATTGCGGGATGCATCCTGATATGTTGTTATTTGCCAAATTTAACAACTGAAGATCATGCAGTTGACATAGTTGCAATGGAATATCCCCATAGAACTTATTTCTATAAAAGATAAGATATTTCAAACTCAATAATTTTTCCCCCATCCATGAAGGTATAACATCCATAAATTTATTTTCACTCAAATCCAAGATTATCAGACTTGTTAAATTCTGCAAGCTTGATGGAAGTTTCCCATCAAGTTGATTATTCTGCAAGTGGAGAGAGAATAATCCTTGTAGAGATCCCAATGAGTTTGGAATTTGGCCACTTAGATTGTTATTCCCCAAGTCAAGAACTTCCAAGCTTTGTAGTTTTCCTAAGCATGGAGGTATTTCTCCATATAACTTATTTGTAGATAGAGAAAGAATCTCTAAATATTTTAAACTACATAGCGACTTGGGGATGCCACCACTCAAATAATTGGTTGAAAGATAAAGATAAACCATTTGCATGTAACCTTCAACATGTGGTTTCAAGGGAAGTTCTCCACTTATCTGATTTTTAGAGAGATCTAATGCATAGGTATTCCAGAAAATTTTCTCGAACCAATATGGGATAGCACTTGAGATGCTGGCATTAGACATAAACAGGGATTGAACATTTCTTTGGGTACGAAGCCAATGAGGAAATTGAGGACCAATTTTGATGGATCCCATTGCTATGTCAAGGAGTTGAAAAGGAGGAACCCAGTTGGAGCTTACATTCCAAACATACAAATTACTAGATATGTACAAAGATTGAAGGTTACTGAGTTTTGAAAAGTGGAATTCAGAGAGGACACCTAGGAATGAATTATTAGATATATATAACCATCGAAGATTTGAAAGTTCACCAAGACTAGAGGGAACTCTACCACTAAACTTATTGTTACGAATATCCAGGTAATACAACATTGACAAATTTCCAAGTGACTCCATTATTGGACCAGAGAAGGAGTTTGAAGACACAGAAAGGACTTCCAGATTCTTATACTTGTACAACTGGTTTGGAAGTTGACCACTGAAATTATTAAACTCCAAGGACAATAATTTCAAACTATCTAATTGGCAATCAGAAAGAAATGTAATGGAGTCCGTCAATTTATTCATGGAAAAATCAAGCACTTGCAATCTACAAAGACTACCAATGGTATTTGGAATTGAACCTGTAAAGCTATTATCACTTAAACTAAGAGAGGTTAAAGAAGTCAAGTTTCCAAGATAATTGGGAACTGAACCTGCAAACCTATTATAACTTAAATCAAGAGAGGTTAAAGAAGTCAAGTTTCCAAGACAAATGGGAAATGAACCTGTAAAGCTATTATGACTTAAGCTAAGAGATATTAAAGAAGTCAAGTTTCCAAGATAATTGGGAACTGAACCTGTAAAGCTATTTAAACTTAAACTAAGAAAGGTTAAAGAAGTCAAGTTTCCAAGACAATTGGGAATTGAACCTTGAAAATTGTTATAACTAAGATCCATGAAAATCAATTTGTGAAACTTACACAACGGAACTAGTGTGCCTGTAAAGGTATTTACAGAAAGGTCAAGGACTTTTAGAGAGGCTAAGGGCTCAAAGATTTCTAACACGCTAGAATTAAGAGAGTTGTGGCTTAGTTTCAAATGCTCTAGTCTTGTGAGATTTGACAACCATGGAAGGTATGCAGAATCTAAACTATTCAAAGTGAGATCAAGGGAGATGAGAGAGGTGGAGTTAACATGTGAAAGAGGACTAGTTGTGTTGAGGTCACAAACAGCCAAATTTAAAGAAGATAAAGACACAAGTTTGTTGATTGTGCGTAACCAATCTTCACTATGCCGAATTGAAACCTGATACATGTTAAGACTTTTTAGGGAAGAAAGGCTAGCTAACCAGTCTAAGTTATCGGTAGCCAAATCATTATAAGATGGAACTATAACCAAAGCCTCTCCAAGGTGGAGATACTCTAAGCTTGAAAGATTTCCAAGATGAGTGGGAATATTTCCAACAAAACCAGAGCTTGAGATGTTAAGATACCTCAAGTTTTTGAAAGATCCAAAAAATTCAGGAATTCGGATCCCAGAAAAATTGTTGAGGCTTAGATCAAGGTAATTCAAATGTGTTAAGTTGATAAGAGAATGATTGATATCACCTCTCAAGCAGTTGTTGCTATAGTTTGATGGCAAACCATTGGACCAATATCTCTTAATATCATCATCATCTGGTGTAGTTGGGTTGTGCAAATCAAGCTTTAGGACATGGCCAGTTGTTGAGCTACAAGAAACTCCCTCCCATTCACAACAATCAAGACCGCTCCATGAAGAGAGACGGTTTGATACATCAATTAAGCTTTCCTTGAATTGGAGAAGAGCAATTCGTTCCCCTTCAACGCAACTTGCAGCATCATTTGAGTAACAATACTCAAATTTACAAATGAGCACAAGAAAAATAAGCACTAGCATAATATTATGTTTGGTATGTTTCATAGTGTCTCAAAAGTAAATACGATTTTTTTTTTTTTTTTGGAGTTCCTTTGAATTTTGTGTATGGAAGCAGCATATGTCAGATATATATATAGCAGCATATGTATGACGGTTCTTAATCTGAATTAATACTAGTCGTAATCGGTATCCAATAAAAATATGCTACTTCTCTGCTCATGTACTGCAACTTAATCTGAATTAATATAATACTAGTCGCTTTTGTTTTTCAAAAAAATAAAAATAAAAAAAAAATCTTATTTCATTCGACTTTGATTTGTAACCAATGAATATGATTGATTATGACAACTTTTATTCAAATCAATGAACATGAAAATAATTGCGGTGCATATCACACTGCAGTGCAACAAAATTTAAGAATATAACATAACATTAGCATAAATGACATGTTAAGGGATTATTTTGTGGTATAAATATAGGTGAGGTTCATTTTTTATTTGGGTCGGGTCAAAGTGGCTTCGGGTTCTGATCCAAACGAAGAAAATTCGATATATTATATGCTCAAAATGAATAATGGGTGAATGTGAATTGAAATTGAGTCCCAAATAGACCTATTTGAGTTTGGAAATGAAGGTGGAAAATGTTTGAATAAGCCTTTGTCCCAAATTGAAAAAAGAAGTGAGTTTGCACCACTGAAATATACAATACCCTTTTAGAAGAAGTTTGAATTGTATAAACTTAGAGGCTCCCTTGCGCGCAGGAATGCAAATCAAATCCTAGACTTAAGTGATCAAACATTCAGTTACACTAAGGGGATGTAGCAAATAAAGTTTTAAGAAAAGTGTAAGTATAACTTAAACTAAACCTTTAATTTTCTGTCCTTTCGTTTTGTGCTTGTTTCGGAAATTAATATTTTCATAATAAATTATTCTATTACAAAGTATTTTAATGATAAATGTATTCTTTAAAAATATTAAATATTTTGTTGAGTTGTTTTGACTTGAGATGCTCACTAGTCCAGTTGTTCTTCTGTGTATATTAAAGTTACAGGCGATCCTTGCTAATTGATAATACATGGCGTGATGGCATTTTGTACATAAGTATACATATTAGTATACTTAATATCAGCGGATCTCTGTTGTCTTTCGTAGCTATTTCAAATTTAATTTCGCGGTTTAACACTCAGATTATTATATTTTAGACAATTTTATACTTGTGAAACTCCATTTTAGACTATAGTATTTTAGTCTAGTTTTTTTTTTTTTTTTTTTTTTTTTTTTTTTTTTTTTAGTTTTCTATGTCAATTTACTCTTTCAGCTGTTGATTATGTTCTTCATCTCCATCACGCGGGCCCGGCGGTTTAAATAAGTATAAGGGAAATGGCACTTTTTCCCCCTATGTTATATACTTATAACACTTTTTCCTCCTCAATTATTTAAGTGGCTCTTTTTCCCCCTGAAATGTTAAATGGACATATTTACCCTTAAAATAAATATTTCATTTATTTTTATTCTCCAATAAATTATTACTATAATTTGGTTCAAACCAGATACTATAGTAACCAAACCAAAATATTCCAATTACAATTTATAATCAAAACGCGATATTTAGAGTTTATTAAAATCACGAACTGGAATGGGCGGTTCATGTTCCAAACTGAAAAAATAAAATACATTTATTGTTGAATTTAAACTATTTTAAAATAAAAAATAAAATTTTAAAATAAAGACGGTTCAAAATCGCGAACGGGATCCGGAACCGTCGGTTCATGATCCAGTTTTTTTTTTATTCTTAAATTTAATAAATTGAAATCCAAATATTGGGTTCTAGATCTGAATCATAACTGAAAACTTTTAATTCGATTGCTATAGTGTCTGGTTCAGTTCGAACCGAACCGTGGTAATCGCTACATATACGCAATAATTTGTTGGAGAAGTAAAATAAATAAAATGTTTACTTTAAGGGTAGAAATGTCAATTTAATATATTAGGGGAGAAAACCACCACTTTTAAAATAATTGAGGGGGCTAATGTGCTTACATAAATAATTGAGCGGGAAAAAGTGCTATAAGTATATAACATAGGGGGAAAAAGTGTCATTTTCCCTAAATAAAATGTTTACTTTAAGCGTAGAAATGTCAATAAAATATATTAGGGGGGAAAACCGCCACTTTTAAAATAATTGAGGGGGCTAATGTGCTTACATGAATAATTCAGGGGGAAAATGTGCTATAAGTATATAACTCAGGGGGAAAAAGTGTCATTTTCCCTAAGTATAAATCTATTTATAAAAGTGGGGGAAGTTTCAATACCAATCGTTATACACTGCACCAGGGCGCAAATAGCAATGTGCGCCCCGCGCTTTCCAAAACGACGTCGTTTTGTATTCTGTTATAAAATTATGTCTTGAAACATGGGAATTTAACTTTTTAAAAAAGATTATATGTTTTCAAGTATAAAATTATGTGTTTTCTATTATATAATTCTATACATTCGAAACATGGGGATTTTCAGTTATAAAAATTATGTGTTTTCAGGTATAAAATTATGTGTTTTCAGGTACAAAATTCTGTGTTTTCTATTATACAATTCTGTACATTCGAAACATGAATTTTTTTTTTTTAACAGCAAACATGCAAAAAGGTCAAAACGACGTCGTTTTGGACACGGTATAATTTGCCTTTCAATACCGCCCCCACTGAAAAAATTTAATACGTTCTTCATCTCCATCACCTGGGCCCCGCCAGTATAAATCTATTTATAAAAGTGGTGGAAGTTTCAATACCGCCCTCACTGGAAAGATGTTATACTTTTAAGAGTTAATTTCATTTTTGGTCCTTAGATTTGTAGGTGATAATTCACTTTTAGTCATTTTTTTATTAGAACATCATTATTTGGTTCTAGTATTATTATGACATGATCATTTTTAATCCTTCATTAACAAAATCGTTAAAATATCGTTAAATACAAATACATTTTAATCTTTATTACACAAAGTAGGTTGAACCACTATTTGTTTTATGTTTATTTTTTTTAAAAAAAAATCCATAATTGACGATCGAAATGTCATTATATTTAATGATATTTAAACTGTTTTGTTGATAAAGGACCAAAAATGGTCATACCACAATAATTCTAGGACCAAAAGTAGATTTTTCGATAAAAAAAGACTTAAAGTGGGCTACCACTTATAAATCTAGGACCAAAAATGAAATTAACTCGACTCTTAATTATATCAATCTCTATTGGGGATCAAACCTATGACCTCCTAAGCTATTTTAAAAAAATCACTTCATGCCACTAAACCACAAGGTTATTAGTTGTCTAATTTATTTTTACCGATCTTTATCAATGTCTTTATAAGATGACTTAGTCAAATCTTTTGAAATTGTAACACAACTAGTGGCTTATTTTTCAAAAGCATTTAAATGATAAATACTAATTAAGTCAGAAATAAAATAATTGTTACTTATAAAGAAAAAGGTCTCTTTCACGAGGTGGAACGGGTCTTTCTCTGTCTTTATTCGCCTCGAGAGACACAGGAGCTAACCCAAGAAGAATTGTCATTTGTGAGAATCGATCTAGGGTTATTCCGGAATCGTCCCCCACAAAAAAACTCATTTACCACTTCAACTACCACTTTGGGTTACTAGTCTAATATATGTATGGTTTGCTCTCTCTTTTTTTTTTTTTTGTTTTTTTTTTTTATTTGAGTATTACTGACTCTGTTATACTGTAGTATCTGTTCATAATTACTTTCTCAATCTATTCCGTTAACTATTTATTATTCTTAACTTACTCATTAATTTCAATAAGAAAGGTCTTACTTTAGAACCCCATTCAAATTAGAGTTGACATAATTGTTAAACATATACTACGAATATGTTAAAATGTATTAAAAAATACAATTTAAAATTTAACGTAAACTTTAATCAAATAATTAGTCCGACTAAATACATAGCATTCAACGATTATATTGGAATAATTGTCAATATTGCCCGCACTGCCATGACCTCCTTTTTGGAAGAGTCAATTCGTGTCACCACTCACTATACCACAAAGTCATTGAGAAGAATATGACTAACAATAAGAATATGATTTAAATTAGACTGAGTTAACTTTTTTAGTGACAAGATTTAGAACAAATAATTTAGAAAATATAATAATATTGCTAACTATAATATTATTCCAATGATATTTAAAAAGATATAGTAGTTTACCGTTTATTAGAATCAATGAAATGAGTTTATAAAATAGCATATATAGTCAAGCATTTTTTTTTTTGGTCTAGTTTATGTCTACCGATCTTTATCAATGTCTTTATAAGATGACTTAGTCAAATCTTTTGAAATTGTAACACAACTAGTGGCTTATTTTTCAAAAGCATTTAATAATATTAAATATTTTGTTGAGTCATGCATTTTGACTTGATATGCTCATATTCATCAACTCAAGTTGTTTTCCTTTGTATGTAATCAATCACTTCTTTTTTTAATTGGTGTCCCCGGACGTGTAACTAGTTTTTGAGTAAATACTAGCCAAGGTCCTTTGAGTTTGGTGGTTTCACCAACTATAGCTCTTAACTTCCGTAATTATCATTCGTGATCTTCTGAGTTGCGAAAACTGACCTGCTACCATTCTTCCTTTAGTTTCTGCCGTTTAAACCGTCAAAAGCAGGGGTAGAAAGGTCATTTGATATATAATATACATACAAAATGCCCTTGGAGTGCGTCGCAGACCGCTGACAACTCGCAACATGAAAACATAAAAAGCATCATTAACCATTTCGTCCTCTTCCACGCATCCTATGTTCCACTATACGACTCAACCCTGTGACTTTATACATACAACAATACCTTCCTTACAAAGAAATTGTATATCTTATTTTTAAAAACTTTTTTTATAATAAAAAAAAAAGAGTTAATTCCCATTGAGATTCCTTTTCTTTGGTGACAATTTCAAATTTAGTCCTAGACTATCGTTTTTGTCATTTTACATTCCAATTTAGTCCTTCTCATGCCTTCCTATATTTTTTGTAAGGGCATTTTTGTCTCGCCATTTTTTTTGG